ATAGAAGTGAGCTTTTTTATGATTTTAGTTTTTTATATTTTTTTGTTGTTGTGATTTTTTTGTATGTATGTATGAATGTATTAGGTTTTATTTAATTTTGGATCTTGTGTTTTCGTGTTTGATTTTTTTTATTTTAATATTTTTTTTAATTTTTTTTTTCATGGGGGCTGTTTTGAGATTTTTTTTTAGATTTTTGTGTGTGTTGGGGTTGTTTTTTTTTTATTTAAAAATTTTCGTTATTAATTTAATAATTAACAAATTGATTTTATGATAAAACCAATAACAATAACCACCTCTCAGATATTAGCTACGAGACAATATGTGGTGCCGATAGTAGTACAGCTATTGTAGCTAATATTGTGAACATTGTGAATATGATAAGGCACAGTCTGTCAACGACCATAGCGGCAAATTTCCAATCATTGGCTATATCATTATCCTCATCTTCTTTGCGAAGCTGTGTGTTTTTGTATTTTTATTGTTGTTGTATTTGTTTTTATGGTATTGTTGTAATGTGTGTTTAGTATCATGTCATTGTGTCAATTTTTTTTTGTTTGTTTGTCATTTATGTCCGCAAACAAGTATTTAGTTAAATAATTATTTAATAATAAAAAAATTAAAAAAAAAATTATTTAATTAATAAAAATTATAATTGCAATTGTTTTTATCATGTTTAATAATGTGTTGACATGATAACATAATTATTAATTTATTTGCATAATAGTTTTTTTTTGCATTCGGTTTTTTGGGTCGTGAAAAGAAATTTAAAGAGTTATTTGTTTAATAGATGTAATCAGGTTAGAGATTAAAAGGTTAGAGATCTCACAAAATTATTAAAGAAAAAAATTAATTATTTATTTTTTATTTATATTTTCTAAGTGGATTTTTAAATAACATTATTTTCAGGACTACACAAGGCCTGGATTTTTTAAAGAATAATTTTCCCAGGACCTGTTTTAAAGAAGAATTTTTATATAAGGCGTGGATGTTTTAAAGAAGAATTTTTCCAGGACTATATAAGGCGTGGATTTTTTAAAGAATAATTGTTCCAACGACCAAAAAGGCTGGGATTTTTTAAAGAATATTTTTTCATCGACCCATAAGGCGTGGATTTTTTAAAGAATATTTTTTCATGGCCTATATTAGGCGTGGATGTTTTAAAGATTCACTTTCAAGGGCCAACTTAGGCGTGGATGTTTTAAAGATTAATTTTTTCAGGACTATATAAGGCAGGGTTTTTCTTAAAGAATAATTTTCCCTGGACTATATAAGGCGTGGATGTTTAAAGAAGAATTTTTTCAGGACTATATAAGGCGTGGATGTATCAAAGAAGAATTTTTTCAGGACTATATAAGGCGTGGATGTATCAAAGAAGAATTTTCCCAGGACTATATAAGGCGTGGATGTTTTTTTGAAGAATATTTCCAGGACTATATAAGGCGTGGATATTTTAAAGAATCATTCTTCGAGGACTATATAAGGCGTGGATGTTTTTTGAAGAATATTTCCAGGACTGTATAAGGCGTGGATGTTTTAAATAATATTTTTTCGAGGACTATATTAGGCGTGGATCTTTTAAAGAATAATTTTGCGAGGTCTATATAGGCGTGGATCTTTTAAAGAATAATTTTGCGAGGTCTATATAGGCGTGGATTTTTTAAAGAATATTTTTTTCGAGGACTATATAAGGCGTGGATTTCTTAAAGAATATTTTTTCGAGGACTATATAAGGCGTGGATTTCTTAAAGAATATTTTTTCGATGACTATATAAGGCGTGGATTTTTAAAGAATATTTTTTCGAGGACTATATAAGGCGTGGATTTCTTAAAGAATATTTTTTCGAGGACTATATAAGGCGTGGATTTATTAAAGAATATTTTTTCGAGGACTATATAAGGCGTGGATTTTTTAAAGACAATTTTTTCGAGGACTATATAAGGCGTGGATTTTTAAAGAATATTTTTTCGAGGACTATATAAGGCGTGGATTTCTTAAAGAATATTTTTTCGAGGACTATATAAGGCGTGGATTTCTTAAAGAATATTTTTTCGAGGACTATATAAGGCGTGGATTTCTTAAAGAATATTTTTTCGAGGACTATATAAGGCGTGGATTTCTTAAAGAATATTTTTTCGAGGACTATATAAGGCGTGGATTTCTTAAAGAATATTTTTTCGAGGACTATATAAGGCGTGGATTTCTTAAAGAATATTTTTTCGAGGACTATATAAGGCGTGGATTTCTTAAAGAATATTTTTTCGAGGACTATATAAGGCGTGGATTTCTTAAAGAATATTTTTTCGAGGACTATATAAGGCGTGGATTTCTTAAAGAATATTTTTTCGAGGACTATATAAGGCGTGGATTTTTAAAGAATATTTTTTCGAGGACTATATAACGCGTGGTTTTCTTAAAGAATATTTTTTTCGAGGACTATATAAGGCGTGGATTTCTTAAAGAATATTTTTTCGAGGACTATATAAGGCGTGGATTTCTTAAAGAATAATTTTTGGGGACCTATATAAGGCATGGATTTTTTAAAGAATAATTTTTAGGGGCCTATATAAGGCGTGGATGTTTTGAAGAACAATTTTTCGAGGACTATATAGGGCGTGAATTTTTTAAAGAATATTTTTTCGAAGACTATATAAGGCATGTATATTTTTAAATAATGTTTTTTCGAAGACTATATAAGGCATGTATATTTTTAAATAATGTTTTTTCGAAGACTATATAAGGCCTAGATTTCTAAAAATATTTTTTCGAAGACTATATAAGGCCTAGATTTCTAAAAATATTTTTAAGGCCTAATAGGACATTTACATTCTACCGGATTAAGTTAAACCAGTAGGTTATAATGGTCAATTCCATTACATATTTTTCAAATAAATCCTCATCCTTAAGGGACTTCTACAATCCGTGGATTTTTTAAAGAAAAAATTGTTAAGACCTAAGGGACTTCTACAATCAGTGGAGTTTATAAAGAATATTTTTCAGGGACTTCTACAATCCGTGAATTTTTTAAAGAATAATTTTCAGAGTTTTTAGAGGGATATATAAGGGGTGCATTTTTAGGGAATACCTTTCCAATGGTGCACCTAAGGCGTGGATTTTTAAAAGAATAATTTTTCAAGCCTTATAGTCAAGCGTGTTTATATACCCTACACAACTATGTTGTCAGGGTATTATAGCTTTGTGCAGCCCCAAGAGTTTGTAACGCCGCGAAATATTGGTCCTAGACCCACATTTAAGTATACAGATCATCACATCTCGACTAGTTGAGTCGATCTAGGCATGTGTGTCCGTCCGTCTATCTATTATAATTTGTAAACGCGATAGAGGTGACAAATCTTCACGAAACTTTGCATGTAGGATGGGTTTTGGCCAATGAAGTCCCCGTATTGTTTTTGGTAAAGATCGGTTAATATTTAGGGGATGAAATGAACCAAATACTTAATTTTTCTGGTATTTCTGGACGCTCCAGAGCCCTCAATTATGACCAAAACATCGCGAATTTTTACATGGAGAAGGGGATCGAAGAATAAGCATGCCTCTTTTTGCTAAAGATCAGTCAATATTTAGCGGGTCAAATGTATCCTGACCTTTGTGTGAAAAATGACAAAATGTGTAGTCTATAGCGTATATATTTAGCCCTGAGGGACATAGACCCGAGAAGTTCATGGTATATCCAAGAGGAGAGGTTGTCCTTTAAATTGATACCAATTATATTGTCGTATGTACTCGAATGTGGGAAAGTTCAAGCCTATAATTTTCGGTGATCATCAGATAATAATATTGAGATGAAGTGAGCCGAGTCGATAATAGGCCACAATTATAAGCCGAACATCACCATACAACCCACAGTGAAGGGAATCCGGTCAAGTAATTAGAAGGACTGTACTAAATATTAGTAATATTCGGAAACTATGTCAGTGCAAAGAAGAGATGCTGTTGACCTTTAATCGATCAAGAAGGTGCAAATATCACGAAATATTGCCCAGGTTCGGAAAAAAAACTTCGCAGAAAGTTAGATTTCCGTGGTAGTTGTGTAGGATAACGTATGCTCGGCCCCGTCCGACTATACTGCACTGCTTACAGGTTTTAAATATAACTTCTGAAGAGCTAACACAAGGCGTGGATTTTTTATAGAACATTGTTAAGGATCTACACAAGGCGTGGATTTTTTAAAGAATACTTTTAAGGATCTATATCAGAGGAGAATATTTTAGGGCTCTATATTTTTTAATAATGTTTTTTCAAGGGTCCAACTAAGCCGTAGATTTTTATACCCTTCACCAAACTGTGGTACAGGGTATTATGCCATTGAGCATATGTTTGTAAGAGGCAAAAAATAATCGAGATAGACCCATTGTTCCTTTTGAGAATATGCATAGAATCACTTTCTAACTCGATTTATGCATGTCCGTTCGTCCGTCTGTTTGGCCTTGGTCACTTATTTGGCCCAAGGACAAACCCTATTGAAATTGGGAAAATCGGTTCAGATTTCGATATAGTTTCCTTATATATTTTCGTCCGATTTAAGGAAAACGTGTATCGAAGCCCCTATATATCATTCGATGTGCACGAAATTTGGCACACCGCACTGAATTAAGCCTAGAATTATGTTTGCTAAGTTTTCAGAAAATCGGTTCAGATTTAGATATAGCTCCATATATATTTTCGTTCGATTTTAGGTAAATAGTGCCCAAAGTCCCTATATATCTTTCGATTTTCACGAAATTTTGAATAACGTACTGAATTGAGCCTAGATTGATGTCTGCCATGTTTCGAGAAAATCGGTCCAGATTTGAATATAGCTGCCATATATAGTTTCGTCCGATTTCATGTAAATGGTGCACCAAAGTCCCTATATATGCTTCGATTTGCACGAAATTTGGCATAGCTTAATGAATTAGGTCTATAATGATGTGTGTTAAGTTTCCTGAAAATCGGTTCAGATTTACATATAGCTCTCATATATAGTTTCGCCCTATTTTAGGTAAATAGTCCACTAAAGTCCCTTGAAAACTTTTGATTTGCACGAATTTTGGCATAACGTACTGAATTAGGTCTAGAAAGAATTTTCCTGAAAATCGGTTCAGATTTAGATATAACTCCTATGTATAGTTTAGTCCGATTTTAAGTTAAAAATGCACAAAAGACCCAAAGTTAGGCCGTTTGCTACAAAATTTTGCACAACGTACTGAAATTAGTATTGCCTAACGTTTGCCAAGTTTTATAGGAATCGGTTCCGATTTAGATATAGCTCCCACATATAGTTTCGTCCGAATTGAGGTTAATGGTACACCAAACCCAAAGTTAGGCCGATTGACACAACATTTTGCACAATGTACCGATATTTATATTATGTAGCATGTGGAAAGTTTTGTTGAAATCGGTTCAAATTTGGATAGAGATACTATATATATTTTCTTCCAATTTTAATGAAATGATGCGCAAAGAACTCAAAATGTGGCCGATATGCACAAAAAATGCTGAAATTAAGATAACCTAACCTGTAACAAGTTTTTATGAAATCGGTTTAGATTTCGATATAGCTTTTTTATATATATTTTCGTCCAATTTTTAGCACATGGTGCTGACAAACTCCTCATTTTTATCAGATATTTATCCAAATAATCAACGGGTGTCCGATTGATATTTGCTTTAAATTCATTTACATAATTTTGTCCCATTGTAAGAAGCAACTCTATATCTGACCAAATGAAAAATTTAGATAGGTTGCGGGATGAAATGTTTGTGAATCCAATTTCATTTAATGGTCCCTCAAAAATGCGACGTCTGTTAGGCTTCATCTGTTGAATATATCCAAAGTGGTGAAGGGTATCATATAGTCGGTCCCGTCCGACTTTTCTACTTTCCTTACTGGTTTTTTTACAGACGATTTTAAAGAATTAATTTTAAACGACTTTCTAAGTTCTGGCTTTATTTAAATATTGTTTTTCTCGGCCTTCGTTTATGCTTTAATTTTTTTTTTTTTTTGAAATATTTTTTCAAGAATATTTTTTTAAGGACAATCTTCTGTCTTGATTTTTTAAAAAATATTTATTCAGATCTTTTTTTATTTCTTTTTTTTAATAATTTTCATTTGAGTATTCGTAAAATTAAAATTTTCAATTTTTGTGAGATCTCTTTACCTTTGGTTTTTTTGTGTTTTAAATAATTTTCATAAAAAATATGTTGAAGTGGAAAATTCTTGGACTTACCTGATCCGTGATGAAACGTATTTCCTTTAATATTAAACTTAATTCATATTCCGTTTGAGTTTTAATACATGTGTGATGGGTGACAGCGTCCGGCATGCGGGTACTACCAATCGGTCCTATACTGCCATCATCGCCTTGCCTAAAAATTCCCACACATAAAAAACCGCGACAGAGAGTGGGGGAGAGAGCGAGAGAAAATTAAAAGAAGACAATTTTATTACATAAATAGAACACAAGCGAGGCGGTGTATTACAAATTCTCTAAATACCCATAAACAGTACGATAAAATGCTGGATTATGGGGCAGGGTGCCGCCCGGTGTCATGGGTCGTACATTGCGGAAGTCATCGTCAATGTCCAAGACGTTAGCCAGTAGCGATTTGGAAGAGCTAGAATGTGTTGCAAAACATTTTTTTGTTTTTTGGAGGGAAATTTTGGGTTCGGGGGAAGTAGAATAAAATTTAAGAGAAGAAATATTGTTAAGGGTCTTAGAAAAAAATTTTTAAAATTATATACAAAATTATTTTTTATAAAAAAATATTTTTTTTAAATCAAAAAATTATTTTACATTTTTTTTAAATATATATTTACAAAAAATAAATTCTAAATATTGTATTTGATTTCTTCCTACCGCTCTTTTAATTCCACATCTGATAATATCTGATGTTTCCTCTCCGAGGATGTATCCGAACATGGTGTCGATGTGAAATCCATAATGATGGGTCTACCTGGTCGGTGCATGCGTAATATCCATGGTAACCAACATAGAAATACCACACGTATCTATGTTTTCCCGTTATTCGTTGGCAAAGTCGAGAGGGGGCAGAATTTGACCATAATTTCGGAAGATATTTGTTTTGAAGAGGAGGGTGGTGGTCAAATATTTTTTTTTCGGATTGGTCATTTAAAGAAATATATTAACATTAGTAAAAATCAGTAATAATTTTTTTTAATATTTTTGTTGTTTTTGTTAATGGAGGTATTTTTCTGATTTAATTTTTGTTGTTTTGGTTTTTTGTTTGGAATGAAGCATCAAAGGTCTAGTTAGAAGCAGTGGTCATTTGAGTGAGTAGAGGGGGGTCAAGTGAATGTGATCAGCAGTAGCAGCAGTAGGTAAACCTTTTTCCGGTGTGGTCAAGAAAAAGGCATGAAAATGCATTGGGTAAGTTTTTTTTATCGTTTTGTGTTAAATTTTTATATAAAATTTAATTTTTTGGAATTTAATTCGATTCGATTTATTTTTAGAAATTTGGCTGGCAATTTTAATTAATTTTCTTTTATTTAATTATCCGCTTTATTATTTTAAGTTAGTTAATAATGGTATAGACATATATACATGCAAAATTATAACACACAAAAAGCAGTGGGCGGGACATGGGTAACATATAGGGATATTAGGGTATAAACAAATATTTTTATGGCGCATTTAAAAAGGCGTTTGGATTTTTATAATTTTAATTTTTTGTGATTAAAATATTTTTTTTCAAGCCCTTTTTTTAAAAAATATATATGTTTCCAAGACCTATATAGGACGTGGATTTTTAAAAGAATATTTTTCTACGGCCTATATAATGCATTGATTTTTAAAAGAACATTTTTCTAAAGATTAATTTTTCAGGGCCTTAACAAGGCGTGGTCTTTTTAAATATTCATTTTTCAAGGCCTTTACAAGGCGTGGACTTTTTAAAGATTCATTTTTCAAGGTCTTAACAAGACGTGGACTTTTTAAATATTCATTTTTCAAGGCTTTTACAAGGCGTGTACTTTTTAAAGACTAATTTTTCAAGGCCTTTACAAGGCGTGGACTTTTTAAAGATTAATTTTTCAAGGCCTTTACAAGGCGTGGACTTTTTAAAGATTATTTTTTAAAGGATCCTACAAGGCGTGGACTTTATAAAGACTATTTTTTTAAGGATCCTACAAGGCGTGGACTTTTTAAAGATTAATTTTTCAAGGCCTTTACAAAGCGTGGACTTTTTAAAGATTATTTTTTCAAGGCCTTAACAAGGCGTGTACTTTTTAAAGATTATTTTTTCAAGGCCTTAACAAGGCTTGGACTTTTTAAAGGTTAATTTTTCAAGGCCTTAACAAGTCGTGGATTTTGTAAAGATTAATTTTTCAAGGCCTTAACAAGGCGTGGATTTTGTAAAGATTAATTTTTCAAGGCCTTAACAAGTCGTGGATTTTGTAAAGATTAATTTTTCAAGGCCTTAGCAAGGCGTGGATTTTTTAAAGATTATTTTTCAAGGCCTTAACAGGGCGTGGATTTTTTAAAGATTATTTTTCAAGGCCTTAACAGGGCGTGGATTTTTTAAAGATTATTTTTCAAGGCCTTAACAGGGCGTGGATTTTTTAAAGATTATTTTTCAAGGCCTTAACAGGGCGTGGATTTTTTAAAGATTAATTTTTTAAGGCCTTAAAAAGGCGTGGACTTAACAAGGCGTGGATTTTTTAAAGATTAATTTTTCAAGGCCTTAACAAGGCGTGGATTTTTTAAAGATTAATTTTTCAAGGCCTTAACAAGGCGTGGATTTTGTAAAGATTAATTTTTCAAGGCCTTAACAAGGCGTGGATTTTGTAAAGATTAATTTTTCAAGGCCTTAACAAGGCGTAGATTTTGTAAAGATTAATTTTTCAAGGCCTTAACAAGGCGTGGATTTTGTAAAGATTAATTTTTCAAGGCCTTAACAAGGCGTAGATTTTGTAAAGATTAATTTTTCAAGGCCTTAACAAGGCGTGGACTTTTTAAAGATTATTTTTTCAAGGCCTTAACAAGGCGTGGACTTTTTAAAGATTAATTTTTTAAGGCCTTTAAAGATTATTTTTCAAGGCCTTAACAAGGCGTGGATTTTGTAAAGATTAATTTTTTAAGGCCTTTAAAGATTATTTTTCAAGGCCTTAACAAGGCGTGGACTTTTTAAAGATTAATTTTTTAAGGCCTTTAAAGATTATTTTTCAAGGCCTTAACAAGGCGTGGATTTTGTAAAGATTAATTTTTCAAGGCCTTTGTAAAGCTGTCTCGAAGCAGGTAGCCCAGAAACGGCGCCTAGCGACTCTGCTGCTTCACAAGAGGTACTGGATGTTTCTGCGATTAGCAATCATGGATCGGGCTGACCCGGACTTGATTATCAGGAAGATAAATGGTTGCTAGTCGAAAGACATTTGAGGAACCACTTCCTATCCGACGATGTTGATCGACGGAACCCACGGTTTGACCAGATCACCTTATACAAAGCGGTCAAGGTTGTTAATTTTCAAACTAAGGAGTCTACGGACTTCCTTAAGAATACAATTAACAATTAACTCTTTGGTAAGGTAGTAGACTAGGAGCCGTTGCTGTCCACGAGATACCAAGCGGAATGGTAGCATCGGTGTGAATCCCACCACCTTTTAAGGAACTGTGGAACTAACTACGGTTAGTGGAAAAACAGAACGACGGTCTTCCGATGAGGAGGTGGAATGACGATGTAGTCGCAAAGTTCGCTACCGACCCTGCTGGCGAGCCATGTTTGAGGAGGAACAAGGGTGAGTGGTTTTGTGGAATGGGGAAAAATTATTTCCTTCTCCCGCCATTAAGACAATAGGAAGACAGCTGCAAGCGCTGTGGTGCAGATTAATTTGCATCACTGTAGATCAGCAGCTGCTTAACTGCTTCTCACCCTCTCTTCCTAGAACATACGACATCGCTTGTTGATGCCAACGTACATCACTTCCACTGGGGAAACAGCAACCCTAACTCGAGAAGAGAGTCCATTTTAGATTTTACACTTAGTTATAATCTCAGAATATGTAATAGGGGCAATACACCGACGTTCGTTAATAGATTGGGAGGTGAAGTCATCGACATAGCCCTCACTAATATGGACGACTTTGGGGCTATGAACTGGGAAGTACATAAGCTCCTTTTCGGACCATAGACAGATATTTTCCCAGAGGTAAACATAAGCCTTATAGGAATCTTCGGAAGATAAAATGTGACAAATTGAAAGCTAAAACAGCATCCTCAATCCTAGGTCATAAAGATCTCATAACGGTTGAGGATGTTAAGAATCTGTACACAATGTCACGGACACTCTTTTAAAGAGTTATAAGGCTTCATGTCATTAAACATACCCTGGAAAGAGTTCTCAGCCAGTATGGTGGTCACAAAACCTTGCATCCTTGAGGAAGGCTGCAAGGAAAGCATATAATAGAGCTAGTAAGACAAAACTCAGTACAGATTGGAACGTTTATAGAGAACAGTTCAATAGGTAGAAGAGTGAGATCAAGAAGGCTAAACGTGAGTCTTGGGTCTGCTATAGTGAGTCAATCGAAGGAGTTAACGAAAAGATCCAAAGTCTATAGGTTGTATTAAACGAAGTGTCGGGACGTGGACAAACTCTGAGAGTGAGATTGTTTATCTTCTGGCATCAACCCAATTCCCGGTTGCGCATCAGCATATGGTTCGAACGAGGGTATGGTATGGTATGGACGATAAATAGTTTTCACCCCTACTAATCTCCAGGTCCAGATAGTATAGTACCGGCCATGCTGCAACACGCAGATGAAAGAGCCTCTCTGCAAGACATTTTTAGGGCTTGTCTACTCCTATCGTACATACCTAGTCTATGGAAAGAGGTAACAGTGACTTTCATCCCGAAAGCCAGGAAGCCGAGTCATACGCTACCAAAGGACTATAGACCGATCGATTAGTCTCTCTCCCTTTCTACTCAAGACTTTAGAAAGGTTACTAGACTCAGAAATTGGGAATACTATTGGCCAACAAAAATTAGCATCTCCCAGGACTCCCATAGAGTCATCCGGCTACACCTTGACAGCGTTCCTCGATATTGATGTAGCTTTCAACAATGTGAAGCTACAGGCCATCCATTCTGCTCATGTAAGCTCAGGTATCCCCTCAATTCTAACGGACTGGATTGATAGAATGCAGGATAGGAGAATTATCAACTCGTCCTTAGGAGAGAGTTCCGTGAGGAAATCTGTCAATAGATGCACTCCACAGAGAGGAGTATTATCTCCTCTTCTTTGGCTTCTGGTCATAAATGAGATACAGCTGAAATTCGACCATCTTAAAATATAGGTTGTAGCCTATGCCGATGATGTAGTCTTGCAATTTGGTGGGAAATTTATAATGGCAATGTCAGATATTATGGAGGGTGCCCATTCAACTCTGTCCAACTGGGCACACGCCAAGGGTTTTGGTGTAAACCCCACTAAAACAGTAAGAAACCTAAGATTCCTAGTTTCCGTTTGCCATCTTTGGGAGGAGTGACCTTATCCCTTTCTGAAGAAGCAAAATATCTTGGTACAATCTTTGACCGCAAATTAACGTGGAATAGAAATGTTTAGGAACTCTACATCTGCAAGAACTCCATAGGAAAAAGCCAGGGACTAAGACCAGACATCATACACTGGTTGTATGTGACGGTCGTTCTCCCCATTCTTACATATGGTTTCCTTGTATGGTGGCAAGGGGTCAACAAAGAGATACTGCTAACGAAAATAATTTCAGTACATCGATCAGCTTCAATCCTGACTACCGGAGCGCTAAGAAGCACGTCGTAGGCAACCTTGAATGTAATCTTGAATCTCCTACCACTGGACACTCTGATTAAATTTCAGGCTGCTAGATGTTCCCTGAGGCTCTGAGAAACGGATTCCTGGAAGTCGCTGAATCACAACCTGGCGTTATGTTGAGGATGCTAGCCCATGATCACGCTAATATCCTCAACATAACGCCAGGTTGTGATTTCTTGAGGAGAAATACACACATTAGTGACTAT